TTCTAAAAATTAAGAAAAATTCAAGAAATGTTTATAGAGGGGCAGTCCAAGCTGTTAGCCTTTCCTTTCGAATCTGGAGCAAGCACTACTCTGTGAGGTTCCAATCAAGGTGCAGTCCCAGGGCTGGCTGCACCAGCATCCCACAGAAACTTGCAGAAAAGCAAAATCCCAGGCCCTGGGTCAGACAGACTGAGTCAGACTGGGAGTGTGGCCCAGGACTCTGTGTGCCAGAAAGCTCTGCAGGGTATGTTTATGCACACTGCGGTGTGAGAGGTGTGAGAGGTGTGAGAGGCGCCTCTGTAGTACCTCGAGGTGGGGGTTGGCTGGTGAGCAGACAGTCTGGCTCTGCAAACTGCCTTCAGACCTCTTTGCAGCCCTGACTTACCTTTGTTGTACAGGGTTCCATCGAAGTAGTAGCTCCCTGTGTAGAAACCTGTAGCGTGCTCAATGAGGTGCCTTGCCCATGTGTTCCCGGCTCCTGGGAAGCTTGATAAAGCCACAAATACCTTGGATTTGTTGGGCAGGAACCTCCTGTCTGTGCACCGTGTGTCTGAAAGTCCAGATGTCATTAGTTACTCACCTCCACGATGACCTACAGATCCACCACTGTGCTTCCTACACAAGAATGGATGAGCTGATTCCCATGCAATTGATAGGAAATCAGGTCCAAAAAGGTGAAGGGATTTCCCACCCATACGTTGGCTGCGCGGGTCTGTGCTTGGACAAAGAAAGCCCATGACAGGGCTTCCCGTAACCCATGCAGGGGCGGGCATCAGGTGTACCCTTGCCCCCACTCTGTCTGCACGGCCACAGATGAACCCTGGCTCAGGCATAGATAACCCCAGATTTCTCTGAGGGAAGTAGATGGGGGTTGTGCCCGCCACAGTGGATCAAGGCTGCACTTATTTCTGGTACGCATCAAGCCGCCACTGGCTTCAGGTATTTCAGACAAGAAACTCTGAGTCTCGTTTCCCTTTACCAGGGTGGCTGCAAGAAGCCCATGAGTCACCAGGAGAAAGTCCACCAGCCTTCCCTGCTGAGCTGGGGCACGTCAAGTGCTGGATAAAGCTGGGAACATTCCCATCCACCTGCTCATCCTGTACCAGCTCGGCCAGCCATGATGCTCATACCAAAGAGGACTGCAGGCCTGGAAGCCTTGGAGGCCCTGAGCCCCCACTTCCTCCTAGGCCTGGCCTCACCCTTGCCATTCTCTCCACCACTCACTGTGATGTGAGGGGCTTGACACTGATATCTCCTTTGCTTTAGGACTGCATACTCAGGCACACCTGGTATCTCTTAACCCTAGGAGCTTTCCCTGAACTGAGACCAAAAGCCATAGCCAGTGGTGGCTGTAGAGCTCACCTTGCACAGGAGTCTGGTAGACCATGCAGTAACCAGCTGTCCTCTGTGCCTCAGGAGCAGGACCACACAGTGCGCTGTCCACAGCATCCCGCAGGTTGAACTGGGGGGTTGGGTAGGCACAGTAGCACTCCGAGACCCGCAGGACGGCCAAGGGAAACTCCTGCCAGGGGAGGAGAGAGAGAAAAGCACCCAGGTGAAGGTGAAGGCCAGGCCTTCTACAGTTTAGGCCCTGAGCTGGACAGGATGAGGGGGTTGGTGGCTGCGTAGGGTCAATGGGGTTGCCCAAAGCCCTCCAGGCCAGGCCCCTGGTCCAAGCCCAGGGGAGGTAGAGCTCAACAAGACATCATTTTGCTCCCCAGGAGCTCAGTGTTGACCAAGGAGAAGCCCACAGTCATACACAGGTGAGCAGCACTTTGGCAGATGGGTGCATACGAACCTAAGCGCAGAGTATAGACCCGGGCCTTGAGACATCTAGGTGTTTGCCTGGAGGGAGAAGTCCCTGGGGAGGGCAGCGGCATGCCTGAGATGGCCCAGGGCAGCCCAGAGCTCACTGTGTCACATCAATAGTAACTGACCCCGAGCCCTGAGAGGGGATTGGAATTCCAGCTCCCTCCACGGGAAGAGACCATAAACCAACCCTTGTGCCTGAAGCCCCACGGCAGGGCAGGGACGGATTCCCATGCAGTCATCTTTCTAAAGATGGAAGAGGTCGGGGGGTGCGTGCCTGGTTTCCACCTAAGGTGCTCAGAGAGGGGAGGTGCATTGCTGAGAAGACCCAGCAAGCACTTGGCAGTCTCTTCTATAGGTTCTTGCTCCCCAGTGGGACAACTAGTGAAAGCTGGGTGCTGACTTCCTCAGGATGTGAATGTGTATTCCAGCTCACTGGGTAACTGGCCAAAGTGCTCAGCCTCCCTGAAATAATCTTTACATTTTCCTTATTGCTGGGGAATACCATTAACAAAAGGTAATTCAATCCATCTTATCAGTTATGGTAATGGCTAGAAGTGATGGTCAATACTGCCCAGGATTGAGCCTGGCACACAGTAGGTGCTTCATAGAAGAATGGGCTATCCTTGGCCTCCTCACTCTTTTGGGTACAAAACATAGCTCACTCGCAAATGTATCCACATACCTCTCACATATTTTTCTGAGCACCTACCATACACCAGGCACTAGGTAGGACATTTAGCTCTGTTACTGTATTTTGCAACCCAGGGATGCCAGGCCTCCTGGAGCACAGAGAGATGAGAGAATAGTCTTAGGGGGTATGCATGCAGGAGGCAGGAGGCAGCAGGTGGAGAAAGCCGCTCATTGCTAAGGGAAATGCTGCATAAATCTTTTTATTTTTTGCCCACAGCAAGAAATCTCATAAATAAATAAATAAAAGAAAATCAATAGCATTTTCTGTGTGCAGCGTGCTAAAGCTGAGGATCTCGGCACTCACATAAGACAGCAGACAGTGTCACAGCCAAGGCAGGGTGATGCAGGGCCTGGGGGAGTGTGGGGAGCATCCCAGGAGGGTGTGCAAGGAAAAGATGATGGATGCCCCCCACCAAGGGAGTGTAACCTGTAAGTGCAGTGAAGCCACTCCTCCATGCCTAGCAGTCCCCAGGAAAGTGTCCCCTAACCTCCCTCATTCTGTTCAAATTGAGCAGGCCACCACTCTTGGGCTGAGTGCACAGAGGCTGCCCAGCCCCAGAAGTATCTCTAAGCAGCCTCTGGGCTTGTGGTCTCCACCTCCCTGTGCAACAGTCAGCGAATTCTGTGGCCTGACCTCAAGGTAGATACTGCTGGTTTTTCAAAAAGCATGGCTTCCTGCTGATGTGAGAACGTGAAAAGCAAACCTGAGAATTACAAGCTGCGGCCTCTGCAGCTCCATCTTTCCTCTCTCACAGAGACCCTCTCCTTCCTTGGTCCACCGTAATACCTGCATCCTATGACGACAGACACAGGCATCCCAGCTCCGAGGGAGCACACAGGGGCTGGGCTGTGCCTCCCGTGCTCCTGTCCACACATGTGAGAGGTGTGGTTTTGTCCTCCAAATTCATCTGCTGAAGGCCTAACCCCAGTAATGCAGAATGTGACCTTCTTTGGAAATAGTCTTTGCATTTTCCTCATTGCTGGGACAACCTAAAACCTACAACTTAAAAGAGGAGAGGTTTATTTTGGTTCATGATCTCAGTGCATGATTTCCCCCTGGCAGAAACAGGATGTCAGAGCGGCAAAAGGTGAGAAGATGCGCAACCCATGGCAGCCGGAAAGCAGAGAGGAAGGGAGGAGCTGGAGACAAGAAAGACCCTTCTTCTGGGCCATGTCCCCGGTGATCCGCCTTCAACCAGCCTCACCAATCCATGTGAGTGCAGCACCCCGTGATCCAGTCATCTTCCACACCCATGAGTGTTTTGGGAGATATTTTAGATCTAAACTATAACCAACATCTTTATAGAGACTCTTGTCCTTGTGCAGAGGAGGTAAGGACACAGACAGCCCACAGACCTGGGGATAATCATGTGAGGACACTGTGAGAAGCCGACCATCTGCACGCCAAGGAGAGGGCTCAGGAAAAAACAGTCCTACAAACACCTTGACCTTGGACTTCCAGCCTCCAGAACTGTGACGAAGCAAATGTATGTCATTTAAGTCATCCAGCCTGTGGTAATTTGTTAGAGCAGCCTGGGATGCCTAAAACAAGGCTGTCTTGCTCTTCCTGATTGCTATAGCCAAGGTCCACTGCAGGACCTTTACACATGCTCTTCCATCCTCTGCCTGGAGAGTTCTCCCAGATATACTCCCTCCCTCCCTCACTTTTGCAACTCTCCCTCCCCCGCCACCCGTTTCCAAGTTGTGTTGCCCCTCCTACCTCCAGCAACACATCTATTCTTTCACTGCACTTTCTACTTTTGTGTAGTACCTTCATGAATGAAATGGCCATGCTAAGTCTGCTTTGATGAACAGGTATTAAGACAAGCAGGATTCCCATTACGCAGAGGTGCCTCCATCCCTTCCTCACCCAGAGCAACCGCTATTCTGATTTCCAGCACCACAGACTAGTTTTATTTTGGTTTATCACCCAGTATGTATTTTTATGCACCTGGCTTCCCTCCGTCAGACAAATATTTGCTAAATCCATTCATAGTGGTTCATGTAGTGGTAGATCACTGCCCGTCACTGGCGCATAGTATGTCATGTGCCAACGTGCTGGCATGTTGAATCACTCACTTGATGGACATCTGAACTGTTTCCATGTTCGGCTATTGTGAAGAGAGCGGCTTAAATATTCTTATACAAGACTTTTTTAGTGGACCAGCTTCTCACGGATAAATACCTACAATTCCTGCCTCATTTTTCTCCACTGCATTTATCACCACAGAGCATACGATATATTTCATTTGTCGGTTTATTTTCTGCCTCCACCCATGAAGACTTAAGTAGGGAAGGGATTTTCACACATTCTGTATGCCTTGCTGCAACCTCAGTACCCAAAACAGCACCCAACATGTGGTAGATGCTCAATAAATGTCTGATTGATGAATAAATGACTAGATGAATGCATACTTTCCGGATCTTAGCTCCCTCAGAAGCTGGACCAGCAAATTGGGTGTGATCCTTCTGCTGGTCACAGGGTCTATAGCATCGCTACACACGAGGGAGACAGAAAAAGCCCACAGCATCCAAGCAAGGCTTCCCCAACATCAGGATACCAGGTGTGGGGCTCTGCTGTCCTGGGGTTTCTGCTCAGAGGAAGGACAGCCACCCTGCATGCTAAGTCTGCTCAGGGCACGCTCGCTCCATTTCCCTCCCAGCAGTAACCGCGCTGTTGACGCAGCGCTCACAATCTTATATCCCAAGGCTGTGGAATGGGCTGCCCCCACCAGTGACCCGAACCTTTTTGCTTCCTTGAGTGGATTAAACTGTCAAGTTTCCGGGGTTTGCAGAGCAACGGGAGAGCTGCAGACAGTAATGTGGTTTTATTTACAACATAACCGCTTCAGCAACATCACTGGATTCTGAAAACACAGAACAATTTTCAGCCCCTTGGGGATTTCTAGGACATGATTTCCATAAAAATTAAATATTGATGAATCTTATCTCTCTGCCAACTTCCCAACTGCCCCCCGCCTCCACTCAAAGCTTCAGTGAGAGAAAAAGAATAAGTAGAGAGAAAGAAGAGAAAGGGGTCGGAGAAAAGCAGGCAAAAAAAGAAAGTGTGCATAGACGTGGGATTGTTTCTATCAAACAAAAGGGAGGTGCTCACATGGTGCTGGGTCAGCCTAAGTCTGGGACAGGATGGAGGTACTTGGGGCCTCCGCTAGGGTGTCCAGGATGGGAAGTCAGGTGGGGACTGCGGAGGGCTGAGGCCATATCTGATGCCAGACGAATGCTCAGCCTACGCTGGATCATGACACTTCAAGGGCAGGACTCTGTGGATCATGGGGTCCCACAGGCAGGGATTTGGCTTATGGCCAAGGGGTCAAGGAGTAGACAGGTCTTCATACACAGAGCAAGGGCCAAGGCTGACCCATTTGTACCTCCTCCCCTTCACCCCCATCCTTCCTTGAACAGTACTCTCAGGATCTCCAGTACTGCTCAGAATCAAGGAGACTGATTCAAAGGTCACAGAAAGGGAAACTGGGGCTAAAAGGAGGTGGCCAATAGCTGAAGATCTTCAGCCTAGCAAGTGAATGGGCTCAGAAACCAGCCTTCTGGACCCCTGGCCCAGAGCTTTACCTCACCACAACTCAGCTCCTCAGAGGCCACCCCACCTCTGTGCTGGGCTTCTAGTGAAATCTACATACAAGCCTCTCACCCTGGGCAGTCCTCCACACTCCAGAGGCAGACCTAGACACTCAAGGGACAAAAAGGAAAGATATTCACAAAGGTGGCTATGGGGGCAGGAGCCAAAGGGACAGACTTCTGCTTGCAGGGCAATGTCAGGTTGAAGCACAGCTCACCTACTGATACTGTAACTGGAAATCGGGGGTTGTAGGGTTGAGAGTGGCAGCTGGCGGGAAGACACAACAGCCCAAAGCTTTCCATCAGGAGCCTTTGGCTCTGACTTCCATTTCTGGACTCTAGAAAAGCCACTGGGTATCTCTGACCTGTGGTTTACCATTTGTAAAAGGGACATGGCTTAGTGATTAAGGGCTCTGAGATCTACAG